TTAGGTTTTTGTTTCGGGGTTGAGGATGTAGAGCCATCTGGAAAGTGGAGAGAGGAAAACGCGCAGTGCATAAAGCGTAAAAATGAGCCAAAATAAATAAGAAAGCCGCCAACGGAGCCACCAAGAAGTGGAAAAACTTATTTTGCCGCCGCCGAAAGAGACAACAAGGGGGCAATAGAAAGAGACTGAGAGAGTGAAGTTGACGGCCCTTTGATTGATTGGTTGGCAGCGGAAGCGTGACGTCACAGACAGCACATACCATATATTTTCACTATCCGGAAAATGGAAAATCCACAAACAAATTAAAATGGCAAAATGTTAATATGAATTTAGGGTCTAAAAAATTTAAATATTCCATTTTAGCCTAGAAAGAATGAGTTACTTACTTTATTATATCTTTTACAAAATAAAAAAAATATTTGAATAAACTTGTTTAATATAAATGTTAGTAAAAACAAATAGTTCAAGGTTCGCATACATTTTTGTTCATGCAAATAATATTTTGTGTGCCGAAAAAAATCTATAAATCGGTTTCAATAACAAAGGATGAAAGAAATGGCCAACTACAGTGATTTTCTCACTGCAATCGCGGCAATTCGCAAAATTCGTTTGCCATATGTTTGTGTGTGCTGGGAATTACCTTAACCCACTTTCCACCCCCTTTTTGTTTTTTTTTGCAGCTCCTTTCAACCACTTCCCCCACTGATTGCTGGCCAATTGCCTTTGGACCTGGCTCAATGTTGGTTTACTTTACTTTAGTTCAGTTTAGTTTATATAGTTTGGCTTTGGCTTTGGTTTGCTGGGCTGCCATCTACTAACAAGCCGCCTCACGAAATTCTTCCGCAATTTTCACATAACTCAACGGGGGCAGTGGGACGGGAGAAGGGGGAAAAGGGGAGGCTGGCAATTTTCACGCTGATTTCTCCTCAGGTTTTCCACTCTGCGTATCAGGATCGTGTGATCTGGCCCCTCGGAGACGAGACGCATGATCACGTTGGGCTTACGCATCATTTAATGGGTTCGTGAAGTGAACTTGTTGTTGATGGAAAAGCCAAGCTCCGAGTTCCACGTTCCGAACTAGAGAGGGATCCTAAGCTTTATGGCAGCAGAAGAAGCCGAAGAAGCTGAAGAAGAGTGCTCGGGCACCCACCAACTGGGCATACAACTTTATCACTTGCCCACAAAATATCTTCAATTGGTTCCATTAAACTTAAGCTGCGATCCCTGAGCACGTTTCTGCAAACTCGGCTCCATGACCGCCACCTAACCTCCTGCCCATCCACTCGGGCTACACTGGAAATAAAATATTTCCTAAAAGGAAATAAAATTACTAAAATAAATATGACCCCTAATTTTAAACATAAAACTGGAAAAATAAAATATTAATAAAAATAAAGCTAGAAATGTTCTTTATGTAAGGATACCTAGTTGTAATATTAAATATAAATATTCCATGGGATTCCCTTACTGTATGTTTTGTGTCATTATATTAACACACAAAATATTATTATTACATATAATAAATATAAAAATTCCTAGAACTACTTTTTAAATTTATATACCAATTTAGGGTTTTGTTAATTAAGTAAAAAAATTTCTCCAAAAATCAGAGCCAATTATTTTCGTTGGTGGACTTTAGCCGTCCTTTAACCCCGCACTTTTTGGCAGTGCACATGGTGCGGCTTCCTTCGTGCGTTGCCATCATCATCGTCATCGTCATCCACATGGCCGTGGTCGTGCCCAAAATTAACCTGACCAGGGCATGATCATGAAAAAAAAGAAAAAAAGGAAAAACAGGGGGGGAAAAAGAGGAAAACGCAGTCCGAAGCTCGCTATAAATTCTATTGGCGTATCTATCTACACTATTTCTAATTTGGGACTCCCCGTGAGGAGTGAGGGGTGAGGGGGCCTTTGTGGGATCTCGACTGGATTAGCTCGCAGCTCGGTTTGGCCAATTTAAGTTTAAGTGCTTTGGTAACAGTTTCGCGCTTTCGAAACTTGAGTCGTGATTTATTTTCCGCTCGGCCTCCTCCGCCTCCTCCTCCGATGGTGAGGAATGCCTCCTACTCCTCACTCCAATCCGAATCCTATGAAAATGCTCCTCGCGTTCTGTGGGTTTTCCTCAAGTGCCGTTTTTCACGCCACGACACGCAATCGCCGCGGCCCGGGTAAATTAGGAAAATTGATCTAAATTTTCTTGGGAACCTTTGCCATTCCGGTTCGGTTGGGTTCGCAACAAAAGGGTCGCTGGTAATCAGGCATATGCTGCTTACCAATTTTCTTACCGCTTTTTTTGTTTTTTAGGGGGGTCCCCACTGCTCATCAACATTTTGACCAATTAAAATTCAATAAAAGTCCAGGCAATTCCTGCGAAATGCGAAATGCGAAAATGAACTGCGGTCTTATCACTAAATTGCGAATCTCCCGAACCAAATCCAAATCCAAATCGGGGGCATGACTAGGAGCAATCAGTACAGGTTCCATGTAAACAGTATCGGCATCAGGGAGCCGGGGAACTGGCAACAAGTCGCAGTTAAAATCTTTGCCGGGTCAGCGACAAAGTCAAGTGCAAGTCGCAGTCAAAAAGCTCCAAGCAGGCGGCTCCTTCGGCTGGAATACACTTGAAGAAAAATCACTAGGCGTCAGCTTCGCCTAAAAGATCCACTTTAAAAATATATACACTTTTTTTGACAGCTTACAAAAGGTAAATATAAATATTAGGTAATTGCTAACTAATGCTTAACTTAAACTTTATTTTCAAAGTTCATATTCCAAAAAAAAAGAACATCATTTTGTAAATAATAATGCATTAATTGATCAAAACAATAATTTATATTTCCTGCAAGAAATCTGTAATTTCGTTTTGAAATGATTTTCGCCCAGTGTATCAGTAGCCAGGCAGCTATGGTGCAGTGTGGCATGCAACCTGAACTTGCAGCTCGTTCGGTCGTCACATAATCTGCTCCAAATCAAAATTGCTTATTAAACGTGGAGAGCGCGAGAGCTTCGAGTCCCAAGAAATGGTCTTGGCCACTTGGTCTAGGCCTAGGTTTTTGCGGGCTGGGAATGGGATTGGGAATGGGTAGATAGACCTGGTCATATGCGATCTGGGAACTAGTTCTTATGGAATTTTGTAGAAAATAACTGAACTGAGCTATTAAATCATAATTTTATACCTACTTAATTACTGTAGAATATTAACCTATTTATGTAAAATTCTAAAATATTTAAAAAAGCCCCTAAGCCCACTGATAACTTTTTAAATATTTTGAAAAAAAATAAACAAATTACTACAAATCATATAATTATAATAAATGTGTTTGGTATGTTTTTTTTAGTTTTTAATTTTATTTTATAACTTTTGGGTTCACAAAAACTGAACCGAGATGATCTGCTGCAGACTGCGTAGCTGCCAAAACGAATCTGTCGCCGAATCGGATATCGTGTATGTCGTATATATATATGGCCAAGGTAGTGGAAAAGGTGGAAAAGGAACGGCAATGAAAAATTGCTGCCGAATTCTGAGCTGCGGCGAGTGGAAGCCACGGACAGAATCCAGTATCCAGAATGCAGAAGACAGAATACAGAGTTCGAGTCGATCACGATTGCCACTCGAATCGAGGATCGGGGACTGAGGATCGGGATTGTGGGGATTGGGGAGTGGGGAATGGAGGGACAGGGACTCGATGGAGGCAATGGGTCTTCGACTATCTTGATGGGCATGGGATGCGATGCGATGCGGCGCTACAGGCTCAACTGAGCTGAATTGAGCATTGATCGACGATGACGATGTCGACAGGAACAGTGCTGACAATTCAGCCATTTAATTTAACCAAAAATTGTAAAATTGGAATTAAATAAATCGATTTAAGAATTAAATGTCTCCTATGGCCACTTTTTTCTATTGTTAAATTTTTTACCACAATAAATATAAAAATGAAATAAAAGAAAAGGAAAAGAATTATGTAAAAATATATAATCTCTTCCTTAAACTTACCAAAAAAAATGTTATACTTTTCAGATTAATATATTTTAATTTGAAATATATTTTTTGGTTTAAAATTATTCACTCATTATATGTTAAATATTTATTTGAAGTAATGGATAAAATCCTAGTTTAAAATTCTCGTCGAATATATTTTTTAGCAAATTTACTAATAGCGGAATTTACTTTGAAATATAATTTTGCAGCACCTTTTCGGCTGCACTAAAAAAAGGCTTGCAGATGGGTTTTTGGCGTGAGGCAACGTGCAAAGCTGCCAATGAACCACATCCAGCCTGTGGCCGCGGATCTATCTCAATTTCTACATTTGACCTGTGAACCGTAATGGATTTTGTATATATTATAATTGCCGACCGTGCTACACAATCTCTCCTCCGGTTTTTGACTTCTCCTTGGCCGATTGGCCGATCGTCCGATTGCCTCGGAAGCAGCCCGAATTCGAAGCGCTGCCCTCCTCGACTGTAGGATATCTTGGCAAATGGATCGCGAATAGCGATCTTTCCGAGAAGAAGGCCAGTTAGTTGGTGGAGTGCCGGGGGTGCAGGGAGGGAATTCCGGTGGACTTGTCGCATTAGCACCAGCCAGCAAACGGGACTAGACTAGATTTATTGGGCCCTTGAACGATCGCCAGATCGGTGAACATGAAAGAGCAGCTTAAGATGACCAAAAAGTAAAGGAAAACCCAGGTGTTGAATGCCACGAAGATTGGCTTACACATATCACTTGTTCCAGATCGCAAGAGGATCATGATTAGACTGTTTTAAGGCTTTGTAAATGATGGTAAACCTTATATATATTATTTTACTGTATATTTATTTATTTATATATTTATTTTATTTGATTACTTTTTTTTTACCTATTTATTTTATTTTCTTATTTATTTTTTAAATTATTTCTTGTTTCCTTTAGTTATTTGATTAATTATTTCTTATTAATTCACTTTTTACTGCTCTAATTTAATCCCACATCCCCAATAAAAAAATGGGTTTCCCTTCATTCATTTACTCAAATCGTTCCACATTCCAAAACAAACGCAAGGGATTAAACCGTATTTGAGCATTCGTAAAATCCATTGTCCACTTCTTTGCTCGCCATCACTTCTGCGGGTCAAAGGTCACCTCGTTGAGCTCCTTCTCACAGCCCCGGTAGGCCATGCCCACGCCGAATCCGGTGCCCAGCCAGACGGGCCAAATGCGCCTCCGGAAGAAGAGCAGGGTGACCACCGATCCGATCACCAGGCCTCCGAATCCCTTCACCAGGGAGTCCGACAGACAGCGGTTGAGGTTCTCGCGCAAACGATCTTCGGGGGCCGTCGACATATCCACTCTACTTCACTGCTGCCGATAATAGTTAATAGATAATTTATGAATTTTTGTTTTTTGTTTCGCTGCCAGATATTGCGACAATAACCAAATCGAATTGACAATTGACAAGTACTGAAATGTCAGGGAGCACTGCGATGATTACAATTTAAATTCGAAAAGCCTGGCAAAAAGGCCACCTTAAATCCATGCAGAAATCGAACTAAATTCCTGTTGCCACATTAACAGCTCAGATGAAGAAAATCCGGGATTATAGTTCCCCTTTGCCACCCTGCAGGCACTTAACCTTGTTCAAGCAGCCCAGCATCAATCGATCACGATCGATTTCGGCCAAAATAGATAATAATCGATACACACTCTCCAGCTCAATCTTCGATCGATGGCCACCTTATCGATCTATATGGGCATGCAACATGCGAGTCCCAATCCCATTTTCAATTTTTCCGAGTAAGCACACAGAGAAAAAAGTTATTAATATAGTTCTTTATTTTTTGAAAGAAAAAAAGGGTTAATTGTGATTTATTATGGAAAAACTACATATAAGTTGGGACTTATATTATATTTTTGTTAATAACAAATGTGGTTTGCTATTGTACTTTTTTCTGAGTGTGCAGCTTAACTTGCACCTACAATCAACCATTGGAGTTTATCCCCGACTTTGAAATTTGGCCTCAGTTTCTGCCTCGGTTTTCAGCTGGTTAGCTGGGTAATCATGTCAGCATAAGGCAGAATACCGCAACATTGTTTTTATCGATATGGCCCAAACACTGGGTAAATGCGGAAAAGTAAGGGAAGCGATGGAGGTTCCTCCTTTAACAAGTTCCATTCTATAGAAAAATAATATGATATCATGAGAGATGATATGATATATATAGGTAGATGTCAAGAAATTTAAAATTAATATAAAATACAAATTTTACTAAAACTTTTAACATTTAAAATTCTGTGAATTTCATTTCGCCACAAAACAATGCAATAAAATATTTAATGAATTAAAGACAATTATATTCATCACAAATTGAATACCTAAAATTCTTTCTTTATTTTAAAATTAACTTATGTTCAATTTTCAATCAATTTTACTCAATTAAAACAAACGCTATTACTTTTTCCATTAATATTATTTACTTTTATGGAGTAGCGTATCGCAGCGACTCCCACCAAAAACAGAAATGCCGCCGACTGCTTGGGAAAACACAGCGCCGGCAACCGTGTTGACGTGTTAAGTGCTTTTGGCCAAGAGATGGCCCCGAAAAAGCTGAAAAGGCTGAAAAAAAGAAAAGGCAGCAATTGGAAAAAAGACGACGACTGAAACTCCGTCTGGTCTTCCACTTGCCTGGGCTTAGGCTATAATTTCAGCTCACCGCCCACCACTTTTTTTCTTTTCGCCGAGGCGTTTTTGGGGGCGCAACGGAGCTTAACTCGAAAATTGCAAATTCGGGTGTTCAATCGAGTCAAATCCTTTTCTATTACCAACTCAGCCGCTGCGCTGCGCTCTGTGTTTAAAGAAATTGTCGGCCTCATGAGCAATTTAATGCCTGATTTGCCTTTGCCTTTGCCTTCGCCTTTCCTTGGGTGCGATTTTGGTTGCATTTCTCCCAGCCACGTAGGTGATTCCCCTGTTTTGGGTGTTGGCACAGTTTTTCACCCGCAAATTTTCCCCCAGGAAGGACGTAAATATTCCAACTGACCAACAGAGTTAAGTGTTCTTATTAATGGGGTAAACCATCATTGAAAATATAATTTTTCTTTTAATTATATTACCAATTTAATATATGAGAAATATTCGTAATAGAGCTTAAAAAAATATAAAATATATTAAAAATATTCTGTTCCAAAACTCCTTATTTAATTATACTGAATTATACTGATAACCTTATTTAATACTCTTCATCTTACAGCCGAAATCTGTTTAAAATCCTCGATTTTCTGCGTTGGTCAGTTGCTCCCCAGCAAATTGGCCAAACTACTCAAGATCATAATGAAGACATTTATGGACCCGCGAACGGATTCAATTGTGCGGCATTCAACAATTTTTGCAATCAATGCGAATCGAACTAGGAACGGGAATAATGCGATGGCCCCAGGGCACTGGGCGCATCTGTGCGTACACCTGCAGTCACAATAATAGCAGAGTTCCTAAAACAAAAGAGTTTTAAAAGCTTTTAAAATGTTTAAAGTAATTTACTTGTTTTTTAAAACTAAAACTAAAATAAAATAAATTATTTATTCTAATAATTAAAATAAACAATGAATGAATATTTTCCAATTAAAAAAAGACTATTTTAAGATAGTTTTTAAATGTACATTAATTTGAATCGATTCTTGTAATGTTTTTAAAATAGTTCACTTTGGCAACTCTTCGGAAATTCTTTTTTAAATATTTTTAAAATACTTCTATGATTTTCGTTGATTATTTTGATCCTACCTGTAGACCAATATGTGTGTGCGTTGGGTGGGTGTCCCTACAGCCGATCGTGCTCCCCAAGAACGGAGAATAGGGGGGGTTATCCTCCACACAGAACAACTCAATGAGGCACATGCAAGTCAAAACATCGGAACCCAGTCTGGGTTTTCAGTTTTGGGTCCAAGCCCCAGCCCGCTGGGCATATGGTTGCCCGCTCTCATCAATTCCGACTCGGGGGCCTGTTTTCTTCATTTTCTTCCTCTTTTTTCCTTTAAGCCCAGTATCTGAGTTTGGTCCACGTTCGACTGGGCTCATTATAGATGCAGCGCCGATTTGTTTTGTTGTCCCCCCATTTGACTTTGAATTGATAGCATCAGGCAGCGTCCAACGTCCAACGTCCAGCATCCGACTCCCTGCCCAGTTTTCCCTCTCCAGCTGGATTTTCCTTTTCGCCTTTCCTGCCTTTAAGATATATAAATGTATTTGAACAATTGAGTGTGCTGCGCATGCGCTTGCCCAGTGCAAATATTTTAGATTCGCATAAACTTTGCATAGTTTTTGCCAGCTTTTTTTTACGCCTGCACAGTGGTTGGAGGTGGGGCAAAAACGATACATGATTTAATTAGTTCGAGGGGAAAATAAGACAAACGAAAATTAAAATCAAAGAGCTTAGCAAACTGAAGAGCTAAATATAATTTTTAAAATATATTCCTTGAGCTTGAAATATTTGGGTAAGATTTTTTTTTTAATATTCAATTTTAATTTAACACAAACAAAAAACTTTAATTATTTTAACATTTAAAAATAGACTTTACCTTATATTAAACATTTATTTTTAAATTTTATTAAGTTTATTAGATTCACTGAAAAACTATTTTTGAAATAATTAAAAAAGCAATAAACATTTACATTTACATTTATTGTAAAGATGTGCATTTATATCTACCTTTTTATTTATTTTAATCATTATCCCACACTATTTAATTGGATAATAAACGTTAACGAGTTGCAATTTAGTTTTGAGCAAAGAAAATCAAGTATTTAGGGGAATTCGCATTCGCGACCACTGTTTTTATGACTGCGTATGCCGAGAGTTGTCCACGCACTCTTTGCACTCACTGTGGCTGCAGTTGTTCCCGTCCCTGTTCCCCGTTCTCCGTCCCCCTGTCCGTTTTCGTTGTCTTCACTGTGGTGCGGTGCCTTGGGCTGCTTAGCTGCGCATTTTTATTTAACATATCATTTAAAATTCATGTAAAACACATGTAGCTGGGCTGCGGGCTGCTTTGCATACGGTGGGCATAAAGTACGAGCCGGCGGACAAAACGGACAAGCGGACAAGTACAGGGGAAAAAATAATTGAAAATATATATAAATATTAAAGAAAAATAAGCAAACAAATAAATATTTTCACTAAAGTGTAATTTATTTAAAATAAACATTAACATTTTACAAAAATATTGGTTTTACAAAATACAATTTGAAGATGCCCAAAGAAATTAAATTAAAGGTTTCAGAATAGGAAAAAATTATTTAAAATATCGCTGATTACTTTTCTCTCAGTGTACGGACGGACGGACCGGAGGACAGTGCAACGGACACATCACACCCAAGCGCCAGGAGGGATCGCTTTGATCGGGTGGGTGAAGGGGGTGAAGGGGGGTGCATGTAGGTCTGGCCAGCGAATTCATAAGCAAAAGGCTTGTATCTGAAGTCGCATATCTGGATAGGCGAGGATATAGAGCTATGGGTTCCTTGGGCTTGGGTTCCTTCGACTCCTTGGTTGCTTGGCCGCGATGAAGATGTCGCTTGTTGCTTGTTGCATGCTGCATTTAATTTGTAAACAAAGTCTTTAGTTTATGACTTGAAGTTTTATTTTAGCATATCTAGGCTCCTCCCGCTAGCATTTTGTTGGAAAATTTGTAAACAATTCGGAATTCCAGAACGCATCATTGCCAGCGCGATTTGCATATATGTATGTTAAGATCTGAGCAGTGGGATCTTTTAGCCCTGGTATACCATACCATACCATGCTATATCTGCAGCTATTCCAGAAGCCATTGTTAAGGCCTGGAGGTTGACCTTTTGGCCCCCTCCGCCGTTAGCCGTGGCAGCCGTAACAAATCAGCAATGACGTGGCCCGACACTAAATGCAATTTATAACACTTTTTTCCCTGCTTTTTCCCTGACTTCACTGGCTTGGCTGGCTGCTTCTTCCTGCGAAGATTGTCAAACAACTTGACTTAAAGGCAACTTAACGAGCAGCCCCGCGATGAACGATGAACGATGAACGACGAACGAGGAAAGACAACTTCATCATGGGGTCGACGTGGTCGCTTCAGCTCTTCAGCTCCTCAGCTCCTCGGATGCTGTCATCAGCATCAACACACGATGGACCCGTGGTCTCATGGACACGAGGAGAAAAGAGCGAAGGACGGAGGAGCCCGAAAAAAGCCATCAAAAGCGTTCAGCCAGCGAACTTGAAAGGCAACCAAAGAGGAAAGAGGCTTTCACTTGCGAAACTCTAAAACAAATTGAATGCTCTTTATTTATGCTAAATAATTAGGGTGTTGATAAGGTAACTTTAGATTAAATTAAATTAAAAAAAAATTGTAAACTGGAATCTAATTTAATAATAGTT